GATCACTTAATTACCGATTGCTTAATTTTTTTTTTTTTTTTTTTAAATACAATAAGCAACTTGAAGAGGGAAGATGACCCAAGTGTAGCATACAGTGGAAACGATAGGAATTTTTCCCCTTGATGTATGGATTCTCCGATTTGATCACCTGTGGGTTGTTCCTTTCAAATCAGTACAAGTGCTTGACAGCCTTTTGGACTGAACTTACTGCCACAGTCCAGGACCAAGACTTTTAAGAACTACCCTTGTTTAATTAACCTTAATTTGTATAACAGTCATTCAGGTTAGCATAGTTCATAGGGTTTGTGTATTTCCTAGCATTTTTCCTGCTTAACAGCTGTAAGATGTGATATCTATTCAGATCTATCCATACTAAAAACATGTTTGTTTGGGTTTTTTTAAGGTGTTGATCCTATTATATGGGAACAAGCCAAAGTTGATAATCCTGATCCTGACAAGTAAGTCTAATAGTCTGTCGAAGTATTACAAAAAGACTTGGAAAGGGGAGAAATATATAACATTGTGTAGTACCCTTCAGCTAACTTAGAAGAAACTTATTAGAGAATATCTTTGTCAAGTGCTGATCTGATTTGAAACAGTGAGGATTACTAGAAATGCCTGTCTAATCCCTTTACCCATTTAGGCGCTTCAGGGTTGTCAGGATAAAGAGCCTTACTTCCATTACTTCGAGTTGTGGTGTCCTCCATTATATGGACTAGTTACTGTGACTTTTTTTTTTGCAACCGTTATGGTTTTTTCTCTTTATTCCTGCCGCTGAAAGTGATGTACCCTTGTACCCTCCAGTGGTTACAGATAACTTAGGCTGATTTCTTTATGAAAAAGGAACACGTTATGAACAGTGAGGACTGTGGAACTTAGCAAAACAAGATGTGTTTATATATTATCTTAATTTCTAATAGGCCAAGATCATCTGTAACTTTAGATTATATTCATAATAATTAATCTGTACCACCTGTCTAATATAAAAATGTGTTGTAAGAAATATTTGTATTCTTGTAGGCTTATTCCTGTGCCAATGGTGGGTTTCAAGGAACTGCTGAGAAGACTGAAGGTCCAAGATCAGATGACCAAACAGCATCAAACTCGATTAGACGTAAGGTTTCTCATCTTTATCATGACTGCTTGCTGTTGACAAAGGATGTGCTACTAAATGAGCCCTCCCCCCCGTGCCTCCTGTGTGCTGAAAACTGAAACTGGAACCATGCACATGAGGCTGTGGCTCTTTATCACTATTTCTTAATACATTCCTTAGTTATACCTTTTGGCCAAAAACCGAGCAGTACGTTTTGGCTTTTGTTTTTTTCAGGTTCAAACTTGCTGTGTTGTTATAGGCTAATTCAAACCAGTTGAATTAAGTTGCACGGACTCTAATTTGGGCACCCAGTTTTCTGATGCCTTCTGAAAATCCCAGTTGCATATGAAAATAAATAGAAACCAGAACAAGTAGAGGTCTAGCAAAAATCTTTCTGAAAGCATCTTTGGTGAGGATGCTGGACGGAGTACTGTTTTGAAACTCCTGGTTTCAAATCAGGACTAATGTGTTCTGTTATCAGAAACTGTTATGACTTCCAACTGACTCCATCTCCTCTGCAGATAATATCAGAAGACATCAGTGAGCTGCAGAAAAACCAAACGACAACTATGGCAAAAATAGCACAGTACAAAAGGAAACTGATGGCACTTTCTCACAGAACGTTACAGGTACCGTGGATAGTCTAAATAACTCGTTCTGACACACAGTCTAGTGCCAGAAGGCAAACTGAGAGGGGGCAGAGCTGTCAGGGAAAGCTTCAGGTGTGCAGCATGTCTTACTGCTTTGGGAACCTTCTCTCTCACTTACTCAGAAGCCGTGGGACTGCCCTGAGGTCTCGGAGCAGCAAACTAGACGACAGAACAAATCTGATAAGGGACGTGCTGGAGGAAGGGCAAAGAGACATGTGGATGGGCTGGGCTAGTGGGGAAAGAGGTGGGCAAAGTCTTCTCTAATGAACCTGAAAGGCTTCTTTCATAGGTGTTAATAAAGCAGGAGATCCAAAGGAAAAGCGGTTATGCCATTCAAGCAGACGAAGAGCAGCTTCGTGTACAGTTAGATACAATTCAGTGTGAACTCAATGCACCTACGCAGTTTAAGGTGAGTAGTTAGAACTTTGCCAACAACTCTGGTTTCTCCTCACAAAAGAATATAAGTTTTCCAAACCATGCATATGTATTTGTGGAGGAAAGCTTTCAGAAGAGAAGTCGAGTGGTGTTACTAGGTTGTAGCGTCAAGCTCTTTGCTGCATGACTGATAGGTATTTCGTATTTTTGAGTTCTTAAAAGTATTGGAGTTACTTGCCCTCTGCATGTCTTCCAGAAACAAAGAAAATTAAAAATGGAATGAGCGGCAATGTTTCCTGCCCTGGTGACTCGAGGAGTGGTACATGCTGGAGCTCTGACAGATGTAAATGAGTTGTGTTTGATTTGAGCCTGTTTCTCTTCCCAGGGCAGACTAAATGAGCTCATGTCCCAAATCAGGATGCAAAACCACTTTGGAGCAGTGCGGGCTGAAGAGCGCTATTACATAGATGCAGACCTCTTAAGGGAAATCAAGCAAGTAAGTATTACTGGGTGGAGTCCTGGGATACTCTTTGAGCTTCATAATTTAAGCCAGCTGTGCACTAACTTGGGCGATGTATCTATAATGTCACGTTTTTGTAATTGTTTGATGATGAAGTCCTTTTTATTGTTCTCAGTGACAGTGCATCAAGGTGTTGTACAAAGCCACTCTATGCAGTGAGGCTGTTAGTGCAGAAAATGCTGGTTTTCCTTCTTCCAAAGAAATTATGCCAGGCTTTTCAATGCGCCAAGGCTATGGCACCTTTGAGAAATAGTACTTAAGATCTGTGAGGTTGAACTATGCTCATGCTGTTTTTTAAACTATCTGCAGCATCTGAAGCAGCAGCAAGAAGGCCTGAGTCACCTAATTAGCATTATAAAGGATGACTTGGAGGACATCAAACTTATAGAACATGGGCTGAACGAGAGCATTCCCATCAGAGGAGGAGTCTTCAGTTGACATGGTGGATGCTGCTGGGCTTACACAGAACATGTTACTCAAGTTCATGGTTCACCTTCCACGGCTAAAACTGTTGAGGTAAAATGAAACATGTATCTTTTAGGAACAATGGTATTTTGGCTGTTATCTTTAGAATTAGCGAAGCCTCTTCTAAGCTTTTGAACTTGACCTTTGGAAGGTTTATATTTTATAAAGCTGTATATGCTTTAATAAAAGAAGGAAAATTGAATCTGTTCAGATACTGTTTTACTATAAAACTATATGTACTATTGTACATTTTTTCTTTTTTTTTTTTTTCTTTTTTTACAACAGCATTGTCCTAGAAATGCAGTGCTGAGGGAATTGTTCCACTTGTGACTTGGTTTGTGGAAAGCTTAGCCCGCTTTGATGTTTTTGTCAAAACAATCAAGTAACATCATTATGTGAACAGCTAATTTAAATCATTACAGATATGTGTGTTGCTGTAACGATGTTGGTCTCTGCAATACCAGTAGTTTACTGGGGCAAGCTGCAGGAAGTTGATGTTTCCAGTTTCTGTTCTTCCTTTGGACTGCAAGGATCTGAAGGTTACGTTTTTATCACTTGACATACGTGAATTATACAAAGCTTTGCTGCCCCTTAAATAACAACAGAATGTCTAGACGTTGTCTTCTGCCTTTTTTTAATTGCTGGAGAGTAATAAATTCAGTCTGACTTTGTAATAACTTGTGCATGGTGTTGGCTCTTTCTCAGCTGCATCAGCAAAGCAGTGAAACTGCTAACAACTCCTTGTTGATGCACTTCACTCTCCTCCAGGCACTGCAGGTAACAGGCTATCAAACCTGATGGCACAGAGCTGCTTGGCAGCCTCAGTCCCCAAACTAAAATACAAGGGCACGTCCTGTAGGTCCTACCTGCTGCCAAATACTGCAGAGCAGGTGGCTACTACTGGCATTGGAGAGACAGCTTCCCCCCCTCCCCCCAAGTTGCCTTTTTTCCTCATTACAAAAGTTACTGAAAATAACTGAAACAAAAATACATTATTCTCTACAGTAGGAGTTTGTATAGCAGAAACGTCTCAAACACGGTAGAGACAGAACCATTTTGTTCATTGGCCACAAAAAAAAAAAAAAAAAATTTCCACTCATAAAATTTGAAAGATAGAAAAATAGAAATAGAGCCTCGGCATGCTAGAGCTGTATTGTGCATTTGAGAGAGTTTATTTTTGGAAGAATGGTTCCATTACAGTGGAAAAAAGCCTATATGAAACTGTAATTAAGGGGGGAAAAGGCTTAGTTTATTTCTGGAAGCATGGTTCCAATTCATAAAATATCTCAAATGTGCAATACATGCTCTAGCAGGGGCTCTTCTAAGAAATTGAATGAGGGTAGAATTCTCTTTTTCAAGGGCCAGGGTAGCAGTCTAAGTGAAGTCTTCTACCCTAGCACCCCTGATAGAGTGACTATGCTGCATGCTCGAGATAAATAGGTGGTTTTTTTCCTTGCAAACACTTTACCCGCCGCCCCCCCCCGCTTTTTAAGCTGCAATTGTACCACGCTTTTAAAATATCTTGAACATGCAGCATAGGCATTCTATCAGGGGGCTACTTGATCTACTACCCTGGCTTTTAAAAAAGAACTGGTCTCAGTAGATTTCTTAAAAAAGCCCCCCTTGCTAGAGACAGTTTTGCATGTTTGAGATAGATAGTGTTTTTAAGTGTTGTTCCACTGCCCCTATTTAGTATGTTCAAACTTACAGAACAGCAAAGGAATAACAGAGGGGAAGTAGGTAATATCACTGAAACAGCACTGCTGCTAACGGAGTTGACAAACTAGAGAAGGCATGAACAGCCGAGAACCAGCATCTAGAAAAAATGGTTTATTAAAAGGAAAGCTGTGCTGTAGCAGTTGCTACGTCGTTAAAACACTGCCTACAAGAAAGACCTTTACTTCCGTTTTACTACACTTGAATAGACCTGTAACATTTCATCACATGCATTGACTAGAGAAACTAAGTTGCATCTTCCCTTTGAGCAGGAATTTCTACTTAAAAAGAGAGCTCGTTTTTCAAAATGGTCAGAACTGAAGTGCAGCTTGTCTATTTTAGCTGTTACCTTCGCCAAGTGGATCACAGCTGTTGGCTACAGACGTCACTGTTTTCAACCAATAAGTGCTACAGGTACCTGCCTTCCCTTTCCCTGCTTCGCATCTGCAGGCACACTCTGCGGTTAGGTAGGAAGCGGTCCCCCTTGCTTCGCAGACCGTGAAGGCATTGGACATGGCAACCCTCAACAGGTTCTCACTACTGTGACTGTTCGACAAGGCGGAAGGCTTCTAGGAATTCGTTGAAGTCGATGTTTCCATCCTTATTGAAGTCAATGCTGCGAACTAAGTCGTTGATCCCTTCATCTGTGAGTTCAATGTTCATATGGGAGCTGAAGAGCTTCCAGGTTTGGTGGAATTCCTCAAATGAGATGAGACCTGTGGAAAAGGAAGGCACAGCCACCTCAGCTCAAGGTCACCACGGGCACTACTGCCAGTCAGTTCCCGCTCAGCATGCAAGGAGAGACCCCTGCTCGGGTTTGATCTCTCATCCCACCCCTGCTGCCTGCATACCCTAAAGGAAGGAAGGAAATCACTCGTAATCTTTATTTCACATGCTGCAACTACATTTCCTAGCGTGCAGAACACTGGCTAAAATACAACTTAAAGCAGTAAAGAGACATAATACAATTTGGGAGAACAAAAGAAGGCAGAGACTGTTGTATTTTCTCTTTCCCAAAGTGATTTGGTGGATATGACTGTTTGAAAGCAGGTAATGCTCAAGAACCCAAGTACGCTGCATTACTGTCATTGCTCTCATCACAGTTCTTGTTCTGCTGAACTCCTCAACAAATAATTATTAATTCTCCACCAGGACTGCATACAGTCCTTCAAAATGCGTCATGTTTGTGGAAACTTTCAATGACGTTTCAGAAGCTCTTGAGGCAATTACCCCAATTGAGGGAGGAGAAAGACGCAGATTTTTAACCATGCAATAAAAATGCCTTCGTGCATACTAAAGGGAGCCCAAAAGTAAAATGGAATACAACACAGTGACCAATACCCCTGCACACCTGCTTACCTGAATGATCTCTGTCTATGATCCGGAATATGGTCTCCAAGTTGGATCTGTTTCGATAAATGACTTCCAGCAAGCTTGACTGGATGTGCTGAAAGACATCATGGTCACGCTCCTTATACCCTTCTGACAGCGCTCTGTTTTCTCTGAGCAGTTACTGCAGACCTCCCGTAACTAAAAATGTTTACTGCTCTCAAGAGTTTGCCGGCAATGCACTTTGCATCGTCTGTGGCTGATGAAACAGGTTTGTGATGACTGGACCCTCTGTGCAACTCTGCATTGTAGCACATCAGCAACCTATCGCTTCCAAATAGAGCTTTTCCGGGCTAACAGAGAAGACAGTGACTTGGGCTACATTTTTTAACCGTTGCAGAGTTGGTTTTGCTAGGTGTAATTAAGCAATTGCGACTCAAGAGAATGGAATATAGTTTTCCTACTTAAAAGCCTGCATCCAAAACTACCTCTAGGTTTTGATTGCACGTGCATCATCTGTTTCTACAATGGACTGAAGGCCTTTGGACTACTTACTTGAATTCATGCAAGCTTTTCCATCGACTTCCGTGTGATTTTGGATTATACAGGAATCGGAACCACCCACTCTCCTTTCATACCATACTTGGCTCTATGTGCTGGGGATCTTCTGAGCTGCTTTGCATCATGCTTTGATGGAAGGGTGTGAGTCCCTACCTCTTGGCTCCGCTGCTCCATGGCCAAGTCGTCGAGCCAGGACTTGTACTCCAGCATGCCGTTCGCCGTGCTGCGCACCAGCTGCGGTCTCAGCATTCGCCAGGGCAATCCCAGGTGCAAGACTGACTCCACTGCCGTCGCCCAGTTGCTCAGTGTGATCCTTCCTGTAAGGAAAAGGGAGAGCCATGGAGACCTGAGAGACAGGCAGCTGAAAGCACATGAAGGCAAAGTAAAAAGCCTAGAGCAGTAGGCATGCCCAGTCTACCATGCTGACAGCAACAGTGTCGTTTCTCCATGGCACACTTGAGCACTCTGGTACAGGAAAAAAACCCTACATGGCTGTTCGGACATCAGCCACTGTAGGCACAAGTGCACTCGCTGCTCCCCCCAGCCTCAGCAAGCTTTTGATCATTGCAAGAAATCAGGGCCATGGGGCTGTAAATATCTGAACAATGGGAAGACACTAACTTTGGATATTTCATTATAAATTTGTGGCCTACAGCCAGCTTCCCCTGCAGATCATGGCCTACACAACTGCACCTCAGTGACCCAGGAACATGGTAAAGCCCCTAGTTTAGCAGCTGCTGTAACAGCTGAACTGGACTTTTGTGAACAATTTTGCTGCCAGGGAAGAAAGCAAGAAAGCAGTTCTACCCACAAGAAAGCAGTTCTGCCAGCCGCTGTGTCCCTTTTCTCTCCCGGTCCACAAATGGACAGGTCTCAGTAACGCATCTCGGTCGCTGCACCAGCAGCGCGCTCCTGGCAGCCAGAGAACTACGAACGCTCAGCTCCTTCCTTAAGGCTCTGACAGAGGCAGCTGCCACGGAGGACATCCCTCGCTTTCCTCTTCCCAGTGATTTTAGACTCCAGGGATGTAGGGGCTCCAGAGACCACCCAGCCCTTTCCAAGTGACACGTGACAGACATGTTCCAGGTCATCTTTTTCAATGCCTCATCAATACTCCTGTTCCAAAGGGTTCTTCTAGTACCAAGCCTAAATTACTACACATCAGGCTAATCACCTCTTGCTTCTCCGACACCCCCTCGTTATAATGCCACTCTGAGGCATTAACGGGTTCCCAACAGAGACACTGAATAAGAGCAAATGAGACCAATGCTGTGGCAAGGTCTGACACAGCCTCCCCCTGTGACAGTCACTGACAACTATCAGTGCGGAGCCTCCCAGCCAACCACACACTCAACTTAGCTGCTTCAACCCTGTCCTACCAGGGAATTAACCTGTGTCCCCCTCGGCCGAGATCTACCTGTATTGTCCTTATCGTAGGCCTTGAACGCACTGATGAGGGCTGAGGTGTGAGCAAAGAGCTTTTCCCGCAAGGCTCGAAAGGCTGACTCCTCTACTCTGCTGATCCTGGAGGATGCAGAAAAGAGAGAAGCACATTAAGGATTTGCCACGAAGCGCAAGAGAAGCTGCACCGTCCCAGTGCTCTGGCCTGTCTATGAATTGCCCAGACCCTCGCACAACTGCTCTGCACAGCCATAGCTGCATCTCAGTGTTCGTGACAAGGCACTGCATGCCTGGAGCACAGTTCCCTGCAGCTGAATCCCCACGTTGATTTGTGAAGTAACAAAGCAGAAGGGAATCTCAGCAAGGGTCAAAAGTTAAAACTTGACATGGAAAAAAGAAGCTGGAAAATCAGCAGTCTGTAAAAGAGAGTCCCCTTCTGATCTTGTAACGCTCCCTCCTCAACCCTTGAGCCTCCCTCAGTAATTTCTGCACAAAGCTTGAATCCTCCTCTAGCGCTATTATTTAGTAAATCAAGCTGTGAAAGTTCAGCTCCGGAGTCAAACTTTCTCAAAGCTCCCAAAGTTTTCCCTTACGGAATTTTGACTTGGTGAATACAGAGCAACCGGAAAGCCTTGCCTTTGGGTCATAGTGAGAGTATGGGCTGTCTTGTTTGCTTGGTACTGAACAAAATGGGGGACGAGGTCCGGTCCCAGCTTCACATAGGCTCCCCTGTTGCTGCCAATCTCATAGTAGTTTGAGGCTGAAAATATGGTCAGCACCTAACCCCCAAAAAAGAGAGGCATTTACAGTCAGTACATACATCCTCTATTATATATACGTGTATCAGTAAAAACAACACAATGGATCCCATCTGGAGTCAACAGACTGTGAAAGCACCATGTTTTATGTGGAAAAGGAAGAGCGAGGTGGCGGCTGGCCTGGAAGCCTTACAGGTGTGAGTTCATCGAGGGCGGTACTGGCCTCGTGTGGATCTGGCCACAGGCTGGGCTTCTGCGATTTCACTGTAGTCTCCTGACAAACTTCCACTCGCCACTGCAGTGAGCGGAGTCAAAAGTGCCCCTGTTGAAGTCACTGAAGTGACCCTGAATCTTCTGAGAGCAAAACTTTGCTGCAGCAGCTTAGTAACGCCCTTTTGTATGTCATCTTCAGAAACAGCTGCATTAAGTGGGGGCAATGGCACAAACGAGTTCAGATCTTTTCCCAGTTATCACGCACAAGGACGTGCTTTGCCTGCAGAACAGATGACCCCAACAGAGTAGGTGGCTCCAGACTGTCCTGACCTAAGACCTCAGCTGGGAACACACTTCAGTAACTCCCAATAAGGCTGTTGAACGATTTTGCATGTACTTAACAAAGCCCCATTGGAAGAACTACAGAGCTGAGACAAGCCACCACAGAAACCCCACCCTGGCAGGATGGAAACCCAAGTATCCTTCACGCCATCCCCCTCACCGACCTTCCGGTTGTGACAGAACTCGTAGCCCTCTTGCTTGCACTCATGGGAGCGGATGAGGAACTGCAAGTTGTACTTCTCAAGGATCTTCCCTGTCACGTCAGGCCCAAAGTAGCAGCCACCACCTCGCACCGTATTTACTCTGCAGCCCTCCTGAGGCATGGGGTCACTCCAGAGAATGTCTAAAATCTGAAAGGATTGGAAAAGTTCACTGAATAAAGTGTACCCAGCAGATAGCACCCATGAAAGTTTACTAAGCAAATACAGCTCTATCTCTGAATTCCTCCCTGGACTGCTGCTATTACCATAGTGCAGGGAAGCAGAGATGTTTTCTGCATCCCAGGTGAACCACCACGCTGCTCTGCAGGACTGTCACAGACCTGGTCCACCACAGAGGTGACAATATTGTCGGCCTGGAGCTACAGGGACACCCAGAGTGCCTGGGGGAAGAGGGGTGTCCATAAATCAGGCCTGATAAAAGCTTTCCCTTTGCTGCCTCTAAGATTTCAAAGAGCCTTGCCTGTCCTTATCCATCCCAAAACACAGGTCCCAGGACAAGAACACCCAGCAGATCCCGAGGCCATGAGCAGGCTTAGTATTAAACTCCTTTGCTCTCTAGCCAGAACATTCCACAGCCTCCAGAAATGTAAGTGCGTGCTGACTCAGTAACCGCTATTTGGATTAAAGTTTAATCTTTTTAACCCTGACCTCAATATATAGCTTTACGCTGATAAGGTGTGCAATGCCGGGTTGCCATATGTAACGTGAAGGAAGTAACGATGGTTTCAGAGCGCACAGAAGAGACTTACAGACAGACTGGTCTAACGCAAACAGGAAACCAAGTTCCCAGGCTCTGACCTGGGACCTAGCAACCTACTCACGGCACAGCCCAGCTAAAACCACAAATTCAGTCTGCTCTTAGTACTCAAGATCACGATTCGCCCATCAGCAAATGACGTGCTCGTTCATTACCTACAGAGCTGACGTCAGATACCCTGCGTACACAGTAAGCGATATAACACTTGTCAGTCTATTGTCTATTATTTCTCTCCCCTGCAGTGAATCAAGAAAACCTGTTGTCCCACTCTATGCCTGAGCAGCAGTTTTATTTATACAACAACGGATGAGTGCTGTGCTAGGGGCAAACGCTGGGACAGAGCCTTGAGCACAGAAAGCTGAAAGCCTGGTGAAAAGGCTGACTCGCAAGGGTAGGAGAAAGGTGCCAGCAGAACGGCAGCTAGCACCAGTCTTGCATGCAGCCTACGTTCTCCTACGTGACTCTCATGCACAGCTCTTCAATTTCTAGGTAACCATGCCAGAGGATGGGCTGGATGTAGCGCAGGTATCTAACAAAACATCCCCAAGCAGCAGAGATCACAGGTCACAGTACAGCCCTTCCTGACCACTTAACCACTGAATGATCAATGCCAGGCTGTGTCGGGGTACAGAGCAGCAGGGACAAAACAGCATAAACCCCATTAGCCTACCCGCTGGCACTTCAACACCGAGTTGCTCCTTAACTCCACTATATGAAGCAGCAAAAATATCTCTGCAGAGAGGTCTCTGCACTGACCCACATATTTTCTTCCGAGATTCCTCATAACCGAGAACAAACCTGCAGGAGGCATCCACAACCCACCGAGTTCAGGGCCCTGCTTAGACCACTCACCTGCTTCCACTGCTCCTGGCGAGTCCAGCACGGCCCATCCAGATCCGTCAAGGAGACCACACTGGAATAGGTGAGCTCCTCCTCCTCCGACTCGCTGATGTCCACCAGCCGGCGACACCACTCGATTTGCTCCTGCACCGTCTGCCGAACCCACCTGGAGAACTCCAGCCTGTTGGCTGTGCTGGGAGCCTGGGCTGGCCGGGGCTGCGGAGGTAAACTGCGGGCTGCCTCATTCTCTGCTGGGTCAGCCTCTACTTTGCTCTCCCCGTTTATTTCCTGTATTTCCACATTTCTGTTTGACTCCTTTCTTTTCTTCCCTCTTAATACAGAAATAAACTGAAAGAGGTAAGAGAGAAAAGAGAGGTAGTCACACTGCTTGGAAACCTACATCTCCAGCTCTAACATCTTCCATTAGCAGACTGTCAAGTGACCCAAACCTCCGAGCCTCAATTCCCTTTGCTGCCATCAAATGCTGGTTAATTGTGGGAGATACTAGTGCCGTCCTCTCGGATGTGCCATTCTTGGTTTACAGCTGGGGCCCCTCGTCCATCCTGACTACGGATCTATCTCTTCTTCATTGACTTTATGCTGCTCAGACATTTCACAAAAGCTAGAGTACGTGGATTTAATCTGCAATGGGAACTAGGCGGCAGAATGAGGGAAGGCCTAATGACTAATGCAAGTGCTTGTCATTACATTTGCAGAAGGGAATTAGTATTTCTCAACTAGAAAGTGAGGCAGAGACAAGTTAAACAACTCATCAGAATCTTTGTAGAAATCTAGGGGGAAAAACAGGCTAAAAAACTGTGGGGCAAAGTCTCATCATCACTGTGTTTTTACAGTCAGCACCGGCACACCTATTTACCCATGCATTATCCACCACTTCCCTGGCTACGATCCTTACATCTTCCAGAAGCCAAGAATGCTTCTTCCCTTCACACCTCCTGCACGCACACTATTAAACCAAAGCCATCCAGTCCAAGCCTGCACCTAAACGCAGTTTGTCTAGGAAGACCATCCTTTAGATTTGTCTTGTCAACAGCCAAGCTGACACGTACAAGTAAGCTCCTCACCACAAATCAGCAACACTGTTGTCTCTTGCAATATCTAGGAAGTAAAACCTACTTTGTTCCTCTGAATTTTCTCAAGCATGTCCAGGTCAGTGGTGTCAGAGATGCCCCCGTGTATAATGAGGACTTTCTGATCAATCAGGGTGGCCAGGGGCAGCCAGCAGAAGACATTCTGAATCATTTTCAAGATTTTCTTCCCATGCACCTAGGAGGACAGGTCAGAACGGAAAAGATGAAGCACCAAGCCTTCAAAGTCCACGTCTCGCGAGGTAAAGGAGACACAAACGTATGCCTACCTTGTATTTCTGCATTACTTCCCTGGTGAAACCGTAGCTAAAGGAACAGGAGAAAGGAAGCTCAGTGGGATTTCGCAGCGACACCCTTGACATCGCGATCAGCCCCGCAACTAACCCATACCGTAAGTTGACCATGTGGTCCTCGTGGTTCCCGCGGTTGAGATGAACCTCTTTTGGATAGATCAAGAGGAAGGTAAAGAGGACGATGAGTATCTCAAGGGACTGTTTGCCTCTGTCTACGAAGTCCCCATTGAACACGTAGGACTTGGAAGGAGAAGGAAGGCCATTCTGTCAAAGCAAGGAACAGGCAGATGTTAAAAGGGGGGCCTCCCGATGATATCCATACACCTCCCCACCCAGCTGCACATTCTCTCACTCCTGCTCCAGGTTACCTTATACAATAGATCCTGACTCTTATTTTTATCCTGTAGGCTCCCAGTGGCAAATGCACTGAAAAGTGAAAGCTGGCAGTCAGCAAGGGTTGTCAGATTTCAAAGTCAGCAAGGGAATAAGCTGCTGCTTTGTGAAGCCATTTAAAACCAATTAAATTGACCTGGAGAATCGCACGTGAAGGGCCTCCCTCTCCAAATACGGTGCCTACCTTATAAAATATGAGGAACAAGTCATCCAGCTGGCCGTGCAAGTCTCCTAACAGGCACAAAAAGACAAGTCACAGTATGTTTAACTTGAAAAGACACCAATATATAACTTCCTATGAAGTATCTCCTCTATAAATTAATGACCACTGAAATATTTTGGGAAGTTCAAGGTACAAGTTTCCTTGGACTGAGGCAACGTGCCCAAAGGAAAAAGACATGATGTAAAGTCTTGAGTTGAAGCCTGAGAAGGACAGCAAAAAACCTACACCAGCTTCTAAAGACTCTGATTCAGAAGCTTTGTTCGTTTATCTCGTACGATGACACAACGTGGCACAAGAAACTGTTTGACTTTGATCATAACATGGGAGAAAGCTTTGCGTACAAAATAATAATCAAACTAAATTCTCATTTAATATGGTACTGGAGAGAGAGGTTTGTTCTCCAGAAGCTGACTGCACGCAAAAGTCTGTGCTAAGTACATATTTTTCAGAAATATCTCAGAGTTTAAACATTAGTCCTAGAGTAGGAAAATAATGGTGAGAAGCTTTGTCTCTATCAAATTTATTTGACAGGACGCAAAGATGCGTTAGTATTCTGGATCTAAATGCATACGCTGCTGCTAATGAAGACTCAGCCAAAATGGCTCCAGGACTTTGTCGTTTAAATAATCCCAGGCCACAGAACAGGACAGAAGACTGAGTTTTGAGGCCAGTCCTCAACTGGGTGCAATTTCTGTGGTTTAGTAAAAGGACTCCAAGTTTGGGGTGACAGAACAAAGACAAATTTGAATCCAGTGGAAAAATTCTTTACATTTTTGCTGTAATGTATAACAACTTTAAGAGCCACAGGGCATTCATTATCACTCTTCATCTTCCCTTAGACAAATGTATATCCTTATCTTTTCCATTCATACCTCCTCCTCTCCTCGCATTTTTACAATCGCCGTGACAGCACTACTGCTACAGCAGGCTATGCCAAGCTAAACGCTACCATCTAGGGGCAGGGTTTGTTAATGATGTATCCCAAAATCTCTCATGGAAGCCAAACGCAGACTACAAATAGACAAACCACCTTCCCTCAACACCCCCATCCCGTTCCAGACCAAGCAGAAATAGGGCCAGGATGCAGACTTGCTCCCTCCAGTCTTCAGGCTAGTCTTTGCAGCAGCTCAAATACAGCATCAAAGGGTAAACCCGGGTATTTTAGACAGCCCGTTGCCTCTCGATGCAACACGCATCTTGCTTACAGACTGCATTTGTGTTTCCACGCTCAGTACAAAGGAGGGCATCATGCTCACGCTACGATTCTTATCTTTCCCACCCCTTCCACGTGAGCGTTCTGCCCCAGAGACTGCACAGCGCCCTCCCACCCAGACCTACCGCACACGGTGACCTCCTCGCTATAGCAGGTGGAGACATGACTGATGTTTGGCAACTGCTTGAGGTGCTTCCTGGTCTCATGCAGAAGGTTTAAGACATAGCGAGCGTGGAGCTGCTACTAGGAGAAAGCGAAGGGATTAAAGCAGGAAATCAGTGACCTCTGAGCAGCAACGCAGCTGCCTGCAAAGGCCCCAAAGACCCACCACGACAGCCTGGGTGGCAGAAACTCTCTCTGGGGCGACGCTCGGTGCTGACCTACGGGCTTACAAACAAGACGAGGCATTGGCAGGGCTGGCAAGAGAACCCAAAAGCCCTAGCACCCTGTGGTCAAGGCTGTATCTGCTAGGCAACGCCACTTCCTAGAGAAGCAGAAATTCCAGCCCAGTATCACAGGTAAGAAGCTGCTCCTCTAGATCTTTCTTAGCCTTTTCCACATTAAACCAGGCCATGAGCTGCCATGTGTCCTACAGAAATATGTTTGCTCAAAGCCAGAGCGTAGGCATTTAATATTAGTCAAGACACTAGAGACCTTTGTTTTAGAAGTCATTTTGTTTGGAGAAGGGATGTTTTGGCCTATTTTGCAGTTCAGCACCTTGACTGAGGGATGGCAGCAGAGCACTGCAATTGTACAAAGACTTGCCTTGTTAGTGCTGCTGAATTGGTACGGGACTTCCTCATCAAAACACTTACATTTTACATTTTAAATACGAGTCAAAGTTGCATGGCACAAAACAGAATTTTAATCAGCTGTTTCCATCTGGGCCATCCTATACTTTTTAACAAATTGAGGAATTGCAACAAAAAATGACAGAATGTTTCAACATGGACTGTTGTGGGGTTTTTTCCTTTTAAAATGAAATTCAGGTTAATATTGGCGCACACCTACAAAAAGTTTTCAGTTTTGTCAGACCTGCATTTTCAGAAAGGAAAAAAGTTCCTATGGCAGGGGGAAATACCATATCATTTCCATCCTCCTTTGCTTAACAGCCTGCCAGCTCGTTATGCTCCAATCAGCTTAGCTTGTTAGGAAGGCTAAAACCAAATTATCTATCCTACACCCCTGCGTAGAGAAGGGGAAAGCGTGGTTCCTTTTGGGATCCTTACTTGTTTCTGTTTGAAAGCTTCCAGCAAGGCAGTCGCATGGTCAGGAAGGAGCGGGAAAGAGAGACGGGGTCCAGTGTAGGAGTCTGGCACCTCCATGGATTCATAGTCACAGTATTTTTCCAGCTCTGCCTCTTTGAAGCTTTCCCCACTTATGAACATGCGACTGATAAAATCCCCTGGATGGAAGATTGGTCGGTTTGATTGTTTTTTTAAAAAGAGAAAGAGACAAGAAAAAGTTAAGCTGGATCAATACACCGTTCTACTAATTTGCTAAAGAAAAGCTGTTTGGTTCGGCAAGAGCTCATGAGCGATGGCAGCAGCGGAGGCTAGCTCCTAGTCTGACACCGCTACAGAATTGGCAGTGGGGAAAAGGCTGCAGGGACAAGTTTCTGTGTGCTACGTGTCAGGCAGTGCTGGCAGCTACGCTCGTTTCTGCAAAACTCTGGTAGAGCCAGATGGACATTGGTTGCCATGGCTAATTGAAATTTTATTTTCAATGACATGCAAAAGCAAACTGTATAATAAGGAACTGTCTCGTACGTCCCACTGTTTTTTCTAAGCTTGCCCTACATTCTCAGTGTTGCAGAAAATTTGTGTAAATTCGCATTGGTTTTTTATTGCTGTAACACCTCAGAGCCCAACTCAAGGAACTCTGTTTTATACAGACACGGAAAAAAAATCTTCCTCAACAGGGCTTTGCTGTAAAATATGTGGGGTGGTTGTGAGAAAAGGGGTGGCAGTTTGAAAGGAAGGAGCGAGGACTTCAGCAGGTTATGGTCAGCAACGTAAACAGTTAATTTTGACTTACTGCCATCAGATTTCAGAGCTAAGCTCGTTAGCAAGTTCCCAGCACTAAGAAATAACATACAACCTTCTCTGCAGATTCAGGAAGATACTGTATTGGTTCCCACAGCACTTCTCCCCCCACCCCGCCCCAATTATAAGTGAGAGACTAAATATAGATAAAGTAGGTACTCTAGAATACAGTGCTCTAAAGATGGATTCTCTTGCTTCAGAAATGGACTCTGCAAAGCCCTGGTTACCAGGAATCACTGAAAAAAGGCAAATTTCTAATACTGCTCTTAGAAAACATACTGAGCTTTTATGCCCCCTTCCAGCTCCTAAGAAGCAGGAATTGCTCCACATCCCTTGCACAGCTCTGACGGTCTCCAGACAATTCACTCCCTATTCAAATTCCTGATGCCATCGCTCTTTAGACTCTCTTGGCCCCCTTTGCCATCCTGAAGGGCCAGCACTGGGCAATGAATCAATACAGGGTGCAACCTCTGAGCTGCCGGTGCCACGTCTACAAATGGCGCATAGAAACTTACTCTCTTTATTGCTGCTTGGCGTGAAGTGGTCCATCAGGTAACTGAAGAAGTCGTGAAGCTGCAAGAAGAGAGAGAGCCCGTCACCATTCACCGTGGAATGAAATTCTGCAGAGTGGCAACTTCACATGATCTTCCTGGAATTATTATCTATGCCCTTCTCATGTTGTCTGGTATGTACAACAAATCATACTGCACCAATTCTAGTTTTGAATATCTTCTGATGAAGTCAAAAAAGTAGCTTTACCTCCAGCCATAATGACAGAAGTACACCTATAAGCCCTCCCTCTCTCTCCCTGACAGCAAGGCAATCGTGTAAGAGAATATTAATCAGTTAAAGTATAACAAACCAGCTAGGCTTGCCTATTGTGTTCAGACTCAGGAAAAACAATGTTAAATGGTCCTTATGGCTTTCTTTCAAGACTCATTACTTAGGGTTTCATCAGACAAAAGCAGGCAGGAAATCAATAGGCTAAAAAGGGGCAGGAAACCCAGTCCTTGGCCCACTGAAGCACTTACAGTGTTACCAGCCGGTAGCCAGAAACAAGTGAGTCTGTGGCACAGAAACCACCCTCCTATGTATTTTCCTACATACTCTTTTCCTTGGCACATTACCTTGATCTGATCCTGCTCGCAGGCGTACTCAATGGATTGAAAGATTCTCCAGGTGCAACGTCGGCGCATTTCCAGCCGAGCAACGTAGCGCCGATACCACCGTTGGATCAAGACGGCTGCCTTGAAAGCTAGGGGACAAAAACAGAACCAACCTGCTGAGCTGCAGTGGCTGCAGCTGAGCTACCCTGCTACCGCTCCTTTCCCGGCCCTGAAAACTGAAGAGGGACCTTTCCTTTTCAGGAGCAAGTTTTCAGGAAAGGTCTTCTGGTGCCTAAATATTAAGGATAACAAAACACCCACTATTTCCACCATATTGCAAGAGGTTGATCTGACCCTGCCTGACCAGAGACCTCTGAAGCAATTCTAACCATTGCTGCTGGCTCCTCAGCACCAGCATTAACAACTTATTAAGGCCTAAAGATCCAAACACATTCTTCAGCATTAATAGACAATTTCCTCCCTTTCTATCAACCTTGATCATTTTCATGTCCATCTTACGGTCTAGGTACTGGGGCTTCGGGAAACCAGGGATTTGACTGAGGCCACACAAGGAGTTGGGGTAAAACAAGACACCAAGTCCCGTTCCAGAGCCTTAAAAATATGGGGTTTGTCTACCTTCCTTTAAGCCAAATAAACACCTCAGCTTTTGCAGTGCTGGACAAACTTCAGAAGGCATCTATCCTAGCATAAATGTTAACATACCTTTATCTTGGAATAAAATGAAGACAAAATTAACACCCACAGTGAAAAGAGGAAGACAGATCTTTGGCCACTTACTGACACAGAAGGAACGAAATGTCGGGAATTTCCAAGTGCCTGGTCATGTTTCAATCCACAGCCGGTGCTGGCACCAGGCTCTTCCCTTCAGATGATGGCTATTTACCCTCATCTTTAAAACATAACCATTCCTCTGCTTTTCTCCAATTCCAGTGTTTTTCATTAAAAGATTATTTCAGATGGGGTGTGTGCATATTTAAAGTGAAGTACATGGGTGCAGCTTCCCATTTCCTTTTTCAAGTTCCGTCACAGAACTTTATGTACCTCTAGAAACTCTTCCATCCTCCTTAGCTGGTCTTGATCACACTTGGACCACCTGGTTACTTTAGAGCACCTTGCCAACCAGCTCTGCTACTTGGCATCTCTCTTTTGATACCGCTCTGTGTCCCTTCGTGTTAATTTCTGGAGCCCTACCCTAGAGCCCTACGTTTAAAACATTTTCTAACAATGCTTCTCTGGGTCATCTTTAGCTGAGGGAGGGAGGGATGACTGCTCTATCTACAGGCTGGCCCCAAAATCAAAATGGAGACAACAGAGTTACAGACTTAGCCCTGCTGCAGAAGCTTGTATTCCCTTGGCATCTGGTTTGTGAGAGAGCACTGCCGTGTTCACCAAAGCAGGGAGAGCAATGGGGGGGTGTTCACCAAAGCAGGGAGAGCAATGTGGGATGTGGGGTGGAAAAACTTTATTAAAAAGAAGGAAATCCCCTACTCCCACCCCAAAGGCTGCTAAGTGCTGGCAAGAGACAAAGACATCACATTAATTGAATTAGCTTGCATTAATTACATAAAAAACCACCCTCCATGTACTTTGCAGGAAACATTGACCTTTACCTAAAGAAGATATCCTGATGGCTTAAGTATTGAAAATCATAATCCTAAATTATGTTACTGTTACAGCACTAGGAGCTGCAGAGCACAATAAGGGAAGAGCTGTTGCTGTTGTGCAGCTGGGGAACGGAGTCACGGTGAAGTCATGGGCAAGAAGGTAAGACTTGGCTAGCCTTAATTCAAGAATAATTTATGTATTCTTTGCCTGAGCCTTATATCTTGTTGAGAAAATGCTTACTGATCTGCTGGGATATGAAAAAATAAAAAAGGCTTGACTTTTTTTTCTGCACTTGGGTGCTCCTGATGCTATCTCCTCAAGCCTCCTTTATAACAGACCCAACACTAGCTGCCTTACTCCCTGTCACAATCACTCTCTAAAATAAACAACTTGTAAATATCTTGCATTCCCCTAACGGTGGATAAATACCCAGTTACTGCGGGAGGAGTCAGATGTATTTCAACTGAATCCCGAACAGAAATTCATAGCTAAGACTCCACATATACCAATGAAAACTAGATCCTTTGAAATACTAAAAGTAAAATGTACGAAAGACTCATTCTCGAGCGCACAGTGAACATATATACCACCATCCGCAGCATTTAAGCTCCAGATGGGCAAGGCATTGGTTTTTTTACACTACTTTTACAGAGACTAACTCTGCAACTGAAAAACCAGGTATTCTAATTTACCAGCTTACCTGGGTGAGTTTCATCTGGCAGTGTTTGTACTAGTTTAGAAAAAAAATAATAAAAAAGGAAGAGAAAGAGATTTATCCACATTCTATGAGGATCCAAGCAGTAAACTGAATCATACATCATCGTATAAGCTACTGAAAGCAGGCCAAAGTGGCAGCGCTCAAACTAAAATATGCCTGTTCATGCTAGCAGTATAGTTCACAAATCACCTTGCAGGAAGGAGTCTGCACCCCCTTTTTGACTCAAGTGCAGGGCCGGTTTAACAGAGCTCTGCTGGCTACGCTTTCCACAGGCAACAGCCTCTGGGCCTTGTACAAGGGGGACAGGACGCGGCCCGGCACGCTATACTTGGGTCGAAAGTCCTAAGCAGCTCCACATTTGCAGATCAGCAGATCGGAAGGATTTTGAGAACCAGATGCCAGAAATTCAGAGAGGTTTTACTGTCGTGGGAAACTGTTGATGAGGTATCGGATCTAATGCAGAGTTTCAAATAAGTAACTAGTTTTATGTTACACTTTCTTTGTTACAGATAAGCCATTATCATAAAACAACCCTGAACTTTTTGGGAACGTCCATGGTTCTCTGGTGCTATAGGCAATAGACAAGTCTAACTTAGTTAAAAAAAAGGTGGAGTTTTTCAACAAAGAAAAATTACAAACAAAAAAGGCTGAGTCACAGCAGTATCCCTGCTTTCTTCACTTCTAAATGCAATCACTATTCTTCCTTTCAAAGCACTTGCAAAGTTTGCACCATACTGCTGTTCTGCCAATGCTGATGACTGAATGATTCAAACAACAAAGAAATCTGTTTACTTTTTTACACTTCCTTATGTGTAAAGTCTCACTCATAAACTCCCTTTGTTCCGTAGCAGACCTAAGCACACACCCAGAAAATTGATCCTATCATACAGAGGGTTTCATAAAAATAAATCATTACAGCTTCGAGAGCCATAAAAAAGTCCAGAGATTATTAGCAGAGATTAAGAGCATTGTGCTGACATAATTAGAAAAAAGCACACTTTTTGCTTTTCAGCTTTTCTTAGCCACACCATCTTACCTTCTTTAGAACCAGATTTATTTTGGCTTTGCTAATGCTTCTGCTTTCTCAGTCCTGCGCCGCTAACACAGTCTTTAAAAACGGAGTCCACCGGAAGCAGCAGGATGATACCATCTATCTTGCTGTCAGCACTTGACAACACACGCATTAGCCAGCAATTGATTAATCCATCGGATGTTAGTTCTAACAGAATTGCTTTTTGCTGCTTCATTTCCGGTCAGGTTTTGGTTGATGTTAACCTAATCCTGGTCTAAATAGCTGTTATTTTCTCAAGCCTGTTGGTCTTCTGCCTGACAGCTGAGACTCCTTGTCACAGGATACTGAAAGACATAACCTCGCCTCAATACTATCAAGAAAGCCAGGTAACTCAGAAAAGAAACACATCCACTGCAACCTCCCAATGGCATGCGTAGGAGCAGAAAGGAAAAGATTACTTTTCAAAGAATCACTCACCATTTTCAGACTTCTGCAGGGAGTGCTTGTAGTTGGCATTTACAGAACTACCAGATCCCATGTTCTCCAACCAGTGCTCCTGGAACGTTGCAGACTGGCCCAGTATCACCAAAACCACAAAAGAGATGCAGGAAAGACCATTCGGTCAGAATCAAAACAGCTGCAACATGTCCCACAGTGCCGAGAATCTATAATTAAATATATTAACACTTAAGATCAACGAGCAGATGGCCTGTCTTGTGCCCAAGTACACCTTCCAGTACAAGGTTTTTCCAGCTACTTTGTTGTCTTCTAGGCAATCTGAGATGAGGATTTCTGTCTCACTGTTTCAAATTTCAAGTCAGCTATAAAAATAGGATCATTTCAGCACCTTTCCTAATTGTATAAAAATAGCAGAGGTTGCATATCTAGGTAATGTAATTGTACGGTAGATGTATAAATCAGGCATTCATGTACTCTCACAAGGCTTCACATGCCTAATTTTAGGCTCCTATCTCTTAACAATATGACAGACTTTGATCTGAGCCTTCATTTCGGATGCTACAATAAAATAATCTTGATTGAGCTCTGAGAGCAGACTACATCTCCGAATCCTCATGCTACCTCCCCCCTTCCTCACGCACAGCTGAAGTGCCTGGATGAAGGTGCTAAAATACTACACAACTGCATGTGGGAGGCAGTCGTACACTGTATAGGGGAAAAAAAAACCCAAATGTTTTTCAATACTGATCAGGAACTATAAAAGTCATTAACTTGATTCATTAACAATCAGTATATGCAAACAAATATTCATGCATATAGCCATCTGTGAAGGATAACTCTCATCGTGAGAGATGAACACACAGATGGTATTTACATGTATTTGCAGTACCACAGCTAGAGGGGAGACAATCTGAAATAACAATTAGCTATCATAAGAAAATAATCAGCTTTGTTAAACACTGCTTTCCTTCACCTCGTGGATCTGCTTGAGCATGGGAGCATATTGTACCATCAGTTGCTCAGATCCTGGCCAGTATAAAAAGACAGGACAGCCAGACTTTTGTAACCTCACTGCTGCGGAAAGCTCTGGTCAGAGCAAACAGATCCTATTTCAAGATTAGGTCAAATTCTGAAATCTCTCACTTTGAGGACAACCAGAATGTCATTCACAGTCAGACATGTTTCCTCTGAAAAAAAAAAACCAGTCATGTAGGAAAAACAAAACTGCACGTACTACTGCCAAAGCGGTTCCAGGCTGTATCGCTGTATATAAGAACTATACAGATTTTTATTCTAACCCAGAACTGGGGGAGGAGAAAGCTGAGAAAGGGAGGGAAGGAAATAAACATTTGTAAAAATGTTAAGCCTGGTGCTGGCAGGAGACCACAGCTCAAAGGATTTTGAAGGGACAGGACAATATGACTACAGACGCACTTCTCCCCAGCAGAGGGAAAAGTCCTTCTTCTCTCACTTCCCGCAGTCCTTTTGCCTCCTTCAATCTCTTTCCACCTAACCCACGTCTTTCCTCTCAAAATAGCTACAGATCTGCACAAACGCTAATTGAAGGAACGCGTCCGGTGTTGTATAAGCTGCATGTGTGCAGCGCTTGCTCAGGAAGATGAGCTGTGCTAAGCAACGTTTCAGCATGGAAAGTTTCTAAGGCACATGAAATGCTGAAATTCGCTACCGTGCCCAGGATGCCGAATTGCACAATGGCATCTTCACAATAACTGGGTGATGCAACAGGAGGACACGTAGTGATGCTCTCAACAAAATACCAGTCACTCTAGTTTTATTCTAACAACATTATTTCGTATCAGTGTCAAAAATGGCCTGAAATCACTGCTGAACTGTGCCCAATTACATCCGATACTTTATGGCCTTTGTGCTTAAATAATGCAGGTGCTCTGACAACTTTTCAGATTATTAACTACTCAAATGGACAATTGCACACAGAAATCAGCATCCCTAGCATTTAAGGCTCTTACTTGTAATCTCCTGTACAAGGCAAATCCCATTTCAGGAAAAACAAATTTTCAAGCTCAGGATTTCTCAGTGTAGACTTAGAACTCCCATCTGGCTATCCAAACAAAATTTCTATTCAAAGACGCAAATCTGAAGATTTCAGCAAGTATTAGCTGTCCAGAGAAGCAATGATACAAATGATTCGCTCTGTATCGGGAGCTTGCTTCAGAAACAATCATCCCCAAGCACCTCCACTTACTGCATTCTGGTATAACTTGGCAGGGCAGTCAGAAACAGCATGACAGAGGTTCCTGTCGGATGAAATGACACCAGAAGACACGCTCCAGCTACTAATGGGAGTTCAGTCCACAGGACCAGATTCAAGCCAGTCCCTAGAAAAAACCCCCAAGCATTGTTAGTGTAGGCAACTGTTCCTCCACACTGGAGGTCCACACAGCCTGTGTGCCTAGCTGTATCTTCAGTGCTGCTTAGGAACCTGACGGTGCCGGCTTCAAAGGAAGACTGATGCTTCAGCTTTTCGGAAAAGGTGAGTGCCTTTAAAGATACCTTTAAAAACGCAAACGTGAGCAAAAAAATCCTTTTTCAGGAACTAAAACATTTCCACATCACTTTTAAAAAACGGAGAACAAATTTGAGGCAAGTGCTCAAGTACAGAGTTAGGTACTTCACTTGCTTAGGATGCGTTTGGGGTACTGCCTATCTGTTTTGATAAAATGTCACCTTGGATTTGAGAGCACCTTTGAAGACACAGAATACAACTTCTCCTCATTTCCCTCACTTCCCTGCAAAACAAACAAGCATTTGTTATTTGGACAGCCCTACTTTAAACACAAATTTTGGCCCATACCGAGGGATGGTCTAGCATTCGTGTGCCCTAGGAGTGCCTGCAGAGAGCAAGCACAGGCAACAGCACCTACCTATTTATCTTATCGTGAACAGTCTTGCCAACGGATCTCTCCCAAGCAATTCCTGGAGCTGCGAAGTTTTTCACTTCGTTACCCTCACATTTTTCTGAGGGCCACAGCCTGAGCAAAGGAGCGCACAGCAGTAAACCAGAGATTCCAATGGAATCAAACCTGTTTCAAGGGTGGGAGGAGTGAGGAAGAAATAGAGCCAGTCCAACTGCTCAGCACCTCTGATCCTTCCTCGTGCACCCAACAGTGACATGCACCCCTCCCCGTCCTAAAATCTTCTACCCGAGAAGAAGAGGAGGAACAGGAGCCCATAAAGACACAGCCTGGAAGACTTGATGAAGTTGAACAGTGGCATCATCTCAAATACAGGCTGTATTAAACAACCAGGTGAGACAAAATGATGCAGCTAGGAAACAGCCAGCTACAAACTGCTCCTTTCTCATCTTGCTCTCGGCCACCATCCCCCTCCTGCAGAGATGCTTACATTTTCTCTGGTGCAGCTAGAAGGCCTCTGAAACAGGCTTTCCTCACGCCTTCTGAGAAGCTGCAATACATTCGTATGAGGCTCTCCTCTGGTATACGCTGCTGCGTAGAGCATCTGCTCGCAAACATGCATGCTAAGTAAAGCAAGGTGATAAAACCCGCTGTATGCACTTACACCGGGACAGAACTAAACCACCAACAAAAAAAGCATGGACTCAAGAGCCACACATGGACATAGACAACTAACAGAACAACAAAGTTCAGTGCCTCAGTAGAAGGCCGCAGACACGTAGAAAAGATGCACATTCCCTGTTCACCAGAGTTAGCGTTCTAAAGGCAGGAGAAACGTGTAACAGCCAGACTCCACATATACCTCCCAAGCCAATGGATAATATACTTGGTTTTGCAACTCTTAAAACACAAGCTGCTGACTCATTTAATAATACCATATAATACCACATAAATCTCACTAAAGGAAAACTTGCACAAATCCATTTGTGTCCACCACCCCAAAACAAGAACAACAAAAGCCTGGGTAAATTTCCTGGCTTACTATAAACATTATTTTAACTCCTTCAAAACCAAAGCAAGTGACAGCATTTTGAATCAAATCCTACACACTGTCACATCACTGAGCTTGTCCACATTAGAGATCTGTGCAGAATTTGGTGCTCCACCCACGTGAATCAAAGGCTTCCTGCAAGGAACACCAAAGCTAACGCGAAGCTAACTCCAAAACAACAGGGCTCCTAGGAAAGATGACACACTTCACGTATCACGTACATAACTGAATCCCCACTAACTTGACAATTTTATAGACATTTGGACAACTGAGGGAAGAGATGAGCAGAATCTGGAAGGCAATAAGAGGGTACAACAGACTTACTGAAAGTTTAGTAGGAAGAAGACTGAAAAACAGGGAAACAGAAATTTTAAGCTCTGCTAAAAGAAAAACAGCAACAGTTTGTTTAAGAGCTACAGATGAATTAAAAAAAAAATTCAAATACTTCTCTTAAGAATAAAAATGCTAGCTAGCACTAGGGAAAGTGATGATCCCGCCTTGCCCTCCTAGAGTAAATACCGATGTATATCCCACCTGTACATCAGACTCAGCACATCTCGTAGCTGGAAACGAGACGGTGAAGCTTGTTTTATTTTACACATGCACTGACCTCTGCACCTGCACAGTTACTGCAGTGCCAAAAAGGAGAATTTCAGATAGAAAACTCCCAACTGCAGTTTTATACAGCTTGACATATAAAAAGATATTTCACCTCAAACTATGGGTGCCGTGTAACTACTTCTGAACACAAAACATTGTTACACAGAAATAAAAAGAAAAATGCAACTTACCTTGCCACCAATTTCTAACTTATGGATTTATTAAGATAAACACAATAGAAGCTCTCCACTTTTTAAATTTTTGTTTCTATTCCGTACCCAAAGTGATCAATAATCTCTGAAGTGATTTGCTTGATTACAGATTCAGAAACTCCCCCTCAGAATCTAAATAACCAAGTAGGCTGTTCCCTTGGGCATGCAGCAGAAAGTGCCATGTCTCTCAGCACCTACAGTATAGAATGTGTGTGCTGTTCTGCAACAAGTGCAGACCCTTCGATTTATCTACTGCACAGTTGTTTTGAGCAGCCCTAAGAATCCTCTCCCATGTGACGCTTAAGAACTGCTATAGATCTGA